GCACGAGAACGGGGGGGTGGTCCCCCCCCCGCAGCCGCTCGACGATCCAGGGCAGGGAGCCAGCACTGGCCGGTGGCTGTCCCGTTGCCAGCGCCCCGAGCAGGGGAGAGAGCCTGCTGAGAGTCAGCGCAAGGGGAGCAATTGGGCTCAGAGCCGAGGGGCACAGCAGCACCACAGTGGGGCCTGCACCTCCAGCTGGGCTGAGCACCAGTCCACGAGGGCTTTGGGACTGGTCTCCCGGTTAGTCAGGCTGGGCCAGAGTGGGAGCAAGCCAGCCCATTTCCCCCTCCAGGTTCCCAGGCACACACTCCTGTTGGGGTGCCAAGTCTCTCCTGCCCCTTTGAGGCCAAACAGCTTCTCTTCCAGGTACCGAACCCCCTCCTCAACCGCTGGCCTGGCACCACTGCTTCATGGGAGTCCTTGAGGACTTGGCTCAACCCAAGCCCAGGGCAGAGATGTGGCTCTGGTACATACGGCTCAGGGCTGGGCCCAGGGCCTCCGGAGACTGCCAGGATCCTGAGGGCCGAGCGCCGGCGCCCACATCCCTCCAGCTCCCGCTCCAGCGTGAGTGTGAAGAGGCTGCTGGTCCTGGGGAGAGGCGGGTGGATGAGCAGGGCTGCAGAGGTGGCTGGAGCCAGCCCCAGCACCCGCAGCCTGATCCCTCCCTAGTGCAGCAGCCCAGCTCTGGCCCTATGAGCCGAGCCGTTCCGAGAGTGTCCCTCCCCGGGTGCCGCCTGAATCCCTCACCCCTGCACAGCCGAGCACCCATCTGCCGCAGGGTGCTGCGTGCACCTCAGGAGTGGTGCTGGAAGGGCACCCAGCCCCCATGCATAGACGCTCATGGCAGCTCGGGCATCGGGCACGGCGATTTCTGTCACCTCCTCCACCATCCTGGAAGCAAAGAGAGGCAAGAGCAAGTGAAAGGGGCCATGTTCACCCACCTCCTCCATGCCCATGAGGGACACCCCTGCCCATCCCCTGGCTGGGCACTGCTCCATGCCCAGCCTTCTGCCCTGTGATTGGCCACCAGCTCCAGCCCCAGGGTGCAGATGCCAGACCATGGGGCACTGGGTACCTACAGGCCCAGGGGTGCGACGTCCATCACCTGCAGGGCTTGGCCACCAGGACAGAGCAGGTCCCAGGCTCCCCCCTGGGCGCAGACCTGGAATGGGGCAGCCTTAGACACACAGCAGCAAGATGGGGCTGCTGGGAGCCCCTGTGCTTGCTGGAGCCTCGGTTTGCTCATGCCCATGCAAATGTGGCGGCTGAGAAGGGATACATCTTGGGGTCACCACCGGCATTTCCAGCTCCAGAGCTGGGGAGAGCCACTGCCCTGGGGACATCCAAATTCATGCAGAGCCTGGCAGGCCCTGGTGGCATCTGGGAGCCAAAAGCAAGGGCCCAGCCTGGCAGTGGGAGCAGGCATCTCCTTCATGCCAGGTGGGCACAAATAGGAAGGTCTTTCAGGCCCTGATGCTTTCAGGGTCAGCATCAGGAAAAGCCCAGCCCCACGGTGGGCAGGGAAGTGTTAGAGGGCTCCTGTGCCCACCATGCTGCTGGAGCATGACATGCCTCTGGGGAAGCTTGGAGACACCCCCGGGCAGGCTGGGCCTCCCACACCTGGAAAGTCCTGTGAGAAGGTGAGAAAACCTGAAATCTCAAGGTCTCCAGCCCCTGGGGTCAGACACTGGTACTGTGTAAGCCCCACAGCACAGCAGAGGCTGGCCAATGGCAGAGGGGGAGCGGGACCCCACCCCAGGCACCCTGTCCCAGCCATCCCTGCTCCCACCGTACCTGGACCAGGCTGACTGTCTGCAGTACCTGTGCGTCACCACCTGCGGCCTCCAGCTCTTGGAAGACACTGTCAATCACCTGGGGGCAAGTTGGCCAAGTTGAGAGCCACAGGTTCCTGGCACCCATGGCTGGGTCTCACACTTGTACCAGCAGGATTGGGGCCTACTGGATGAGCCTGGCACCCCCAGCCTGGGTGGGTACCCATAGCCCAGCATGGCAGGGCATGTTGGATGCACTGTTTCCTCCCTGTGGCTGTGCCCTTACCTGCCAGACGATGCCCTGGAGTGGCAGCTGTGTCCCAGGACCATGGGGGTCCCATAGCAGCAGGGACACACTATAGCCGAGGGGCACCAGAGCCAGCTGGGGTCTTGCCAGCTCCAAAACCTTCTCCTGGAAGGAAAGACATAGATGGCATAGCAGGGATGGCACAGCACAGCTGGCCCGGCACAGGTGGTGCAGCAGAGATGGCACTGGCATAGATTAGGTAGCACAGCATAGATGGTGTGGCATGGATGGCACAGCACAGATGCACGGCACGGATGGTATGGCATGGCACAGATGGCATGGCATAGAAGGCATGACAGATAGCACAGCACAGACAGCATGGCATGGATGGCAGTCACATCCCAGCACCCAGAAGGAGACAGGAGGTGGTGAAAAGCAGCAGCAGAGCTGCACATAGGACTAAGCCTCAGGCGCGAAGCACTGCCTGCAGCCCCTGAGGAGTTGACAGTGGCACCTGGTACCTCTGGACAGGAACCAGGTGAGCTGCAGAGCGATCTGCCCCTGCTTGGGGCCAACAGGCCGCTGGAGCACCCAGCAAGCTGGGAAAGGATGTGGGGACGGGGACCTAGGAGTACCTGTCCTGCATCCAGGTGAAAGATGCCATCGATGCTCAAGCAGCTCTCCTGGCATGCGGAAAGAAGCACATTAATGGTCAGCTCTCCCCCGTCCCAGTGTGACCAGCACAGGCTGCAGGAGGGACTGGGCACTGCTGGATCTGAGCATGGCATGGAGGGCCTGGCACAGGCCTGGAGGATGGGGGAGACCCCCTTCCTTCAGCTGCCTGCTAACTCTCAAGAAACCCCCTGCAAGAGAGGGACCCAGAGAGGTGTAGGGCAGATCAGTGCCCACTGGGATCCTGAGTGTGACAGGCCTCTGCTGGGGCTCCTGGTCTGGCAGGTAGGTGGGATGGGGCCCCCTGCTCCCATCTCATCTCCCATGGACCTTCATCCCCTTAGTTCCCTTGTCCCTGCCACTCTCACCTGGACCCCCTTCTCCGCAAAGAGGAGCTGCGCAGGGTCTTCACTGCTGGTTGCCCAGCTCTTCCCCGGCCCTGTAAAACGAAACAGGGGGTGATGTGTGGAGGGGGCCATCCCCATAAGCCCTCGCTCTGCCCACCCCTTGCAGCCACGTCCTAGGGGTTGCACATCCCCCATCACCTCGAGCCCTCCCGCTGTGAACATGGCGCTCAGTGCCACTGTATGGGGGATGGTGCCCACTCCCTGTCACCGCCACCCGGGGCCAGTCCCAGCAGTAGGACCCTTGTCCCCAATGCCACCACAGTTGTCACTGTCCCCAAGGTGGCAGCACCCAACCCCAGTTCCCTGGGGAGGGGGTTTAGGCAGGGCTGGTGCCCAAAGGGGCTGGGATGCTGCAGGCAGCCATGTCCCAGGCCCTGGCCCTACCTGCTGCCTGGTGGAGCCCCACAGCTGCTCGTACGCATACATCCTGCTCGGCCTGGAGGGATATGTGGTAAAGAGGGAGTGAGCTGGGTCCTGCCCCAACCACCCAGCAGCTGCAAGGAGCTGAATGAGCCCCTCAGCACTGCGCAGTGTCAGGCCATACCATGCTGAAGGCAGAGGACAGATCCCCCCAAACCACCCCATGCTCTCCCACTCAATGACGCTCACCTCCTCAGTATCCATGACCAGCTCAGTATGAGCAAACTTGGAGCTGGTGTTTGGGACAGGGCAGGGGATGAGGTTACATGGGGTGATCGTGTTTTCATGCATTATTAATGGATGTCAGGCATGGGCAGGGACAGAGCCCAGCCTGGAGATGTCACATCCTGCGACATCGAGCATGACTGGCGAAGGAGTAGCGAGGTCTGACGACATTGGGGATCATTCAACGTGGGGCAGTTTGATGGCAATGACACCCCGAGGGCTTCTCCAGGCCCTCAGACATAGCAGCCAGGGAGGGCAATTGTAGCCAGGGCTCTCGCTGGGCCGCAAGGTGAGCCATCTCGGTGCCGCGCGTGCATAATTGATGCTGGGTTGGCCAAGTGCCCCGGGACACCTGCCCCCTGCAGCCTGGCTCCCCCCAGCACTGCTCCCAACTCCAGAAGCCAGTGGGGCCATGGGAGACCAGTGGGCACCTGGCCCCACTTGCCAGGTTGTTAGCATGCTCCCAGCTCCACCAGTGACATCCTTGCAATGAGGGAACAGGAGAGGAGGGACCCTGGACCACCATGAAGGCTTTCTAGACACAAGGAGCAACCACAAACCATGGAACCACATTTATTTGAAATCAGTCATATCAAGAAAGCACGAAAGGAAATGCTGAAGCCAGGGTCTCCACACTACAGGGAAATACAGACTGTGGGAGACAGGAGAGAGGTCCCAGGACAGCCCCTGCCCCCTGCATTTGGATGGGATCAGGCACCACAGGGAGTTGCAAACATTTGTGTCGTGTCTGCCACTATTCCCCTTTGCAGAAGGAGATTATGGAGCTGCCCCTGCTTCCCCGAACCTCTGCTTCCCCAAACGTCTTCAGGAGTGGGGGTGATGTCAGGTTGCACATGAGCCATCACTGTAAATGAGGCAAATGGCATCTGGGTCTCTGTCAGGAGGAGCATGGCCAGTGAAGTAAGGGTTTGGATCATCCCCTTGGCTTGGCAGAGGCCTCATCTGGGTGCTGCTAAGGGAAGGCAAGTCTTAGGATTTCTCCTTCCTGGTTCACTAGATGGAGGCTGCTGCTCCCCATTCCCAGGTCACGCTGGCAGTGAGGCTGAGTGCAAATTCAAAAAAATGCAAATACAAACCCACAGTACGGACATAGCCAGCCCCAAGGATCAAACACGCCTTTACCATCACCCACCTAAACAGCTATAGCACTCACATGAACACGAGCACATGAGTGGCCTGACCCCATCCTTCCCCTCCAACTGATCAGGACTGACATTCAGCGGTGGCACATACTCTCAATCCCCAGGCACACGCACACCCGCAGGCCCTCAAACCCTTCAGCAGACCCCAAAACCATCCAGGATTCATGCCTGGACCCTGGGCCAGATTTATCCAGTCTCCAACTCTGACCTTGGGTCTTTCTATATTCTGGTTTCCTACTCAATGGGTCATCCAGCTGTTTGCTAGCAGGTAACACAAGCAGGTAACACAACCAATATACACACACGCACATGCACAAAGTACAGAGAGGGAGATCACACAGAAAATGTGGGGACCAGGTGCAGGGCTCAGCCAGACAAGCATCTTGACCAGCCCTGCTTACCTGCAACCAGCCCCTTTTCTCCTCCATCCTCTCTATTTTTCCATGCTTGTTTCTTCCCCAGCCACTCACCATGACCCCTCCCTTTCAGCTTTGATACTTCTCTTAAACATCCTATAGTAAGTTTTGCACGCTCCCACAATCCCCCTCAACATCCCATAATTAGTGTGGTCTTTCCTATGAGACCCATTCTGATAACCCAGAATAAACCTGTTTTCTTCTTCTTAACAATTAAAAGTTTGCAGTTCAACCTCTTTGAGGTCACACGGGAGGGTCACCCACCAGTGCCTTGAGAGCTCTGGTCTTTGTTACTGTCTCCATTATCTCCTGCTCGTTAGGGTTTGCGTACACTTTTCCTTTCTTGTGTTTTTTCTCTTATGCTCAATAGCAATTAGGCAGATATCCTCACAAACCAGACATCCTTGCAGACATGGCCCAGTCTGGAGCCCCCAGGTCAGGAGAGGTGGAGGAGCAGGAGAGAGACCTGTGGAGGCTGCCGGGACAACTGTGCTGGGGGGCACAGGGCTACGAGAGAGGTGGGGGGAGCTGGTCTGGGATCGTCCAGCCAAGATGACCCTCGGAGGGATCTAAGAGGAGCCTGCAGCTACTTGGAGGGAGGTGCAAGCACGGTGGAGCCAAACTCGTCTTGCTCGGGGCAGATGAGATCACAGGGGCAATGGGTGCAAAGTGGGATTTAGGAGGTTCAGGTTGGACATTAGGAAAATCTTTCCAGGAGGGTGCAGCCCTGGGACAAAGCACAGTGAGGGCAAACTCCATTCTTGGGGCTTTCCAAGATTTGGCCAGACAAAGCTGTGGCCACCCTGAGTTAATGGCTAGGACAGTCCTACTCCGTGGGGGAGGCTGGACTGGGGATCCCAAAGAATTTCCCACTAGCACGTTGGGGTCATGTGAGTCTTGCCATGGGCATATTCAGCTCCTGGCCTTGCAGCCCCTGGAGCTGAATATGCCATGGCTGAGCTGCTGTAGAGGAAGCACTGATGGGAACGGTACTACGATCCCTTCACAGCCCTACGGCAGGCCTGAAACAGCCCGGACCTGGATTGGGCCAGGTAGACTGCTCCAGCCACACAGAGTAAGGCAAGGATAACACAGATGGGAGTGATCACTGCAGCACTGTTGCACTGCAGTACTGAGACAGGTACATCCTTCACCAAAACACCCTGGTATCGAGGGGGCGAATGGCACACATAGTCTCGGGGCCAGCCCGGCCCAAGGTGCACCATTCCTGCCAGCATCTGGATCCCCGCGGCCCCGGAGCACGAGCAGTTGTAGGGGTTTCCAGCTGCGGTCACATCCCTCAGGTGCCCCAGGATCCGCAGCTCATCCCATGGCAGCTCTGGGATCAAATTGTAATCTAGATGGAGGATTTCCAACCTGGGGAAATTCCTAACGAAGGAGACATCTCGCAGCATGTTTTGGCTGAGGAAGAGCATCTTCAGGGAGGCAAGAGAGATGTCTAAAGTACGGAGGTGGTTGCAGCTCATGTCCAACACTTCTAGATTGGGAGGCAGAGGTGTGAGGACTTCATCCAAGCCGGTGCCAGACAAGTTAAAGACTCGGAGGGACATCGGCCACTGGCAGGAGGAAGCCAGACCAGCAATGAGCTTGTTCTCGCTGAGGTCTAAATGCTGGAGCTCGTGCAGCAGCTGCAGACTCTCACACACGCTGTGGTAGGATGTCAGGTTGTTGCGTTGCAAACTCAGTAGCTGGAGCTGTGGGAATGCACCCTCGCAGAAGGCGGGCATCAAGCTCTCATCCCTGAGGCTGTTTTGCGCCACATCCAGGGAGCGCAGACCTCTGAACACCCTGCCGATGGCACAGGGCAGAGCGGTGACATGGGAGCTGGTGACTGCCAACTCCTGCAGGGTCTCCAGCCAGCCGCTCAGGCTGGAGAAGCCCTGCTCGTGGCCTGTCAGAGGGGCTGATGTCACGTTGTGGAAGCGCAGGTTCAATATGGGCAAGTTCTGCCCGGCCATTTCGGTCCAGTTGCTTCTCCCCACAAAATTGCAGCTCTCAAATACCAGCTCCTGCACCTGGGTGTAGGAGAAGAACTTCAACACTTGGGCGAGGAGGACCTCAGGCACCAGGAGGTCACCAAAGACAAGTTTCCTGATGTTGAGGGTTTCCAGCATGTCAATGACGGAGGGTTGCAGGTCGCTAATGGTTAAGGCTGCATACCTCTCCAGGTCTCCCCCCCAAAACTCCACGACAGAGGCCGGGAGGCACTGGATGATGCTCGAAAGGCTCTCCTGGGACAGGCTGTGGCACACGCAATGCTCCTCAGTGCGGTTGAAGAAGCACCTGCCTTCTCCCTCCACCAGACCCAGCCCCAGCAGAAGGAGGATGGCCGCATTCATGGCAATCAGCCTAGAAATGAGGACAGCAATGGTGAAAGGGCAGCACTCTGCTATGGCAGTGGCAGCAGAGCAGCATGCAGGTATGAGAGACGGGAAGGGCTGACTTGGGGCCTATGCAGCACAGGAGAGTCTCAGCAACAGGATAGCCTCATGGAGACAGAGCTGCCCTCCTCATGCCTGCTGGACTGCCCTTCGTGTGGGTCCAGCACTCTCCATCAGCACCAGTGTAGCTCACCACTGGTTACCCAATGCAAAGCTCTCAGCCCTTTGGAACCATCGGTGAAACACCCAAGAGCTACACGTGTGCCACCTGCTCCTCAGCGTGGAGTTGGGGCCACTGGAAAAGCAGGATTTCAGCAAGACAGGGCTGAGACGCAGAGACAGGGGGGCTCCCTCTGAGGCAGTGGCTGCTGAGCCCCACACAATTTTCATGCCTGGGCTGCCCTGCTGCAGAGCTTCCTGTTTCTAAGTGACCAGTAAATTCTGAGGATCAGGAAAAACCAGAAATGCTGAGCAACGTACAAAAAAGCCCAATCTCTTAGTTTGCAAGATGGGAGAGCCACAGCTCTGTGTTTCTGCATGGCTGTCTGCGCAATCTGGGACAGGAAATTGCAGTGGAGGGCTTCATATTTTCCTCTTTCTCACACAGGAATTTGATTCATTACCAGCTGCTAAGCAGAAAGTAGGAAATCATTTCTGAGGCTTTCTAACGCTCCTGTCAGCGAAGAAGGGAGACTCCTCTTCTGCCCAGCTGAAGGGAGAGTCTTATTAAGAGCTTGCAAAAAAGTAGCAGTCAAAGATTAAAAGCTCCTGTGTTGCCCCAGCTTCATTAAGGACCCCTAGGAGTGGTGGGAAGGGGCCTTGGGGTGTCTCCAGTCCAACCTCCTGCTTGGAGCAGGTCTGTTGCTGGCACTGGCCAAAGCTTGCCACAGCTTTGTCTGGCTGAGTCTCAAAAATCTCCAAGGACAGAGATCTCCCCCCGCCTCTATGCTGCCATGGGGTTGTACCACCCTCCGAGGCAAAAACTATCCTCCTAGTGCAAAGAAGCACTTGCATGAAGCCTCCCCTCACCGGGGAAGCAGCATTAAGCAAGGGTGGGTTGCCCAGGGACTCACCGGCCAGGTCACGACTGAAATCTTTCCCTGCTCTTGTGGCTGCTTCCTCTTGCTGCTGCCAACTCCTAGGTTCAGGTGCCAAAAGCTCTGCAAGCACTCTGCTCTCCAGAGCCAGATCTTCCCCTGCCTCCAGCCTAAGGAGACTTTACGGCCTGCAGGTGCCTTCCAGCTGTTTCTTCTTTCGCAGCCCTGTCCTGCTTGTGTTTAATGAACCCCCTCTGCACCACCCACCTTGATCCACGCACCCGGGGCTGGCAGACACGTGGCAACAGGCTCCCGGGTGCTGCACCACTCCTGCTGAGGAACTTCCTGAGCACAAAGGGGCCGCCTGTGCCACGGAAAGCAACCACCCCAAGTCACTTCTGGTCCACTTCCCTGCAGCACAGGGCTCCCAGATAACGACGGTTGTCCTTGGCTGCAGGCAGGGAGGGGTTTTGGTGTAAGTGCCAATAGTCCCAGCTTTCCTAGGAAGGATCGGGGAACAGTGGGGTTGGGGTGCCTGAATGCACCCGAGCCTGCTGGGTGGTCAGCACCCCACAGCTGCCAATGAAGAAGGATTGTCATACCCTGCCTCCAGATAGTCCCTGGATCCACGTCCCACATAGGATGAGGACATCTACTGACAAAATATTCTTCGTCCCCATCAGCCTCTCACACAACCTGCTCCACACTGCACAGCCCAGTGCTGCAAAGGGCACATCTTCACCCAAGACTGGGCATCCTTGGCCAGCTGGCTCCTTGGCTCAGCCAAGGAAACCACACCATCTGCCCTGTGCTCCAGAGGTAATTACCAGTGGCAGTGACTGCTCCAAATTTTAATGCTGCCAGTCGGCGAGCAGAGATCGCTGGGTATTTTGGAAGATCCTGGTTTTCCTCCACAAGGATTTCTCTGTTACTAAAAGGTTTCAGAAAGACAATGAATCAGCACATCTGGAAGACGCAATTCCTGGTTCGTTGTTGATGAAAGACATGATCAGCGCAAGAACCTCTCGGGCACAGCATGCCTGGTCCAGGCTCTCTGGCACTGTCTTTCTGGGGTGGGCGAAGGGAAGATCTCCTTCCGGTTGTTTCACCCACTGCGGTTCCTTTTCTTGCTCTCAGCATTTTGGTCTTACTGTTGCACTAATTTCACTTCCTCTTCTTGAGCAATCCAGCAATTCCCCTTCTCCATTCTTGGGTTACATGAAACTGCTTCCATGCAAATTGCTGAAAAGTTGTTGCAGCCTTTTTGAGTTCTCCTCACTACTTCCCTTAGTGAAATCAATACCTCTAACTCTCTGGGTCTGGTACTTTTTAATTCCCTATTCTTGCTATCTGCTGCAAATTTGCCCAAACAGCTTCTTCTTGTGAAAACTGAGCTCTTCCATCTCCTTAGCAGTCAGCCACATTCAGCTTCAAAGACATCTGATTTTGCACCTGTCCTTTGGATGACATCCTTCTGGTTGTAATTTCTACTGTGGAAGACACTGAGACCCATTGCCTTATGTTGCTGGTGAGTCTCTGGGCTTTTCTGGATTCCTCGAGAATGAAATCCACCCCTGTGGAGATGGAAACCTTGCCTGAGCCTGGAGGCTGACTGGTTTCAGCCCTGCAAGGCTCAAGTTCATCCTCTTGGTAGTTTCTGTTACCTTTGTATGCTCACATCTGTATTTCCATGTGAGGGCCCAGCACGACACCTGTGGAGGTCAAGGCAGAGCATGACCCAGTGCTGACAGGGAGATGGCCACCACGCGATCTCTGTGACTGAACAGTGCAGCTGTGTTTGCCCTGGCCGTGGATGGCGGTGGCCCAGCTCCTGGGGGGAGCCGTTGGCAGGGATGACCCGTTGGCATCTCAGCATGTTTCACGTCTTTATGCCTCTCGGACAGCCAGACCTTGGCCTGGACGTCCCCGCTGCCTGACGGACTGGGAACACCACCTCGGCTCGTGCCGCCAGGGCTGCCCACGGCCGACTAACCCACCCCACGCAGCAGGAGAAGAGCTGTCCCACCACCCAGGCACCGGGGGTCACCTTCCGTGAGGAGCGGGATCAGGGGTACGGGGTTATGGCTGCCCAGGGCCCACCCCGGTTGTGCAGAGACGGCCACCCCGAGGTGGCCTGCGAGGGAGGCAGACGGACCAGCCCTGCTCACGGGCACCAAGGGGCCAGCGGGG